ATCTACCCAGCAAAGATCTCATTTGTATATGAGAACGAAATCAGATACTTCAATAGCAAAGAAAAACTAGAAGAATATGTCTACACAAAACCAGCTCTGCAAAGTCTCCTTAGAAATGCGCTAGTCCCGGACAAAAAGGAGGCAAATCACAAACAAAGTTGGCAAATAAGAAGGTCTTCAAACTAAAGGCCGCACAAACAAGACAATTACATAGGCAACAACACACACACAACACAATCACATGGCAGGGCAAAATTGCAACCTCTCAATTTTAACTCTCAACACAAATGGTCTAAATTCACCAATCAAAAGACAGAGATTAATAGAATGGATCATCAAACAAGACCCAACCATCTGTTGCCTACAAGAAACGCATCTAACCAGAAAGGATGCAAAGAAACTGAAAGTGAAGGGATGGAAAAAGATATTTCACGCCAATAGACGAGAAAAAAAGCTGGGGTAGCTATCCTAATTTCAGACGAGATAGATTTCATTCTAACTAACATCAAAAGAGACAGAGAAGGCCATTTTATACTGGTAAAAGGAATGATCCATCAAGAAGCAATCACCATCATTAATGTTTATGCACCGAATCTTAATGCACCTAGTTACGTAAAGCAATTACTTACAGACTTACGGGAAGACATAGACACCCGCACAATTCTTGTAGGCGATCTCAACACACCTCTAACATCAATGGACCGGTCTACGAAACAAAAACTCAACAAAGAAACAACAGAGCTCACACAAACAATAGAACAACTGGACTTAGTAGACATATATAGAACTTTTTATCCTAAGGCCACAGACTATACATTCTTCTCAGCGGTGCATGGCACCTTCTCCAGAATCGACCACATGATAGGACATAAAGCGAATCTAAACAACTTCCAAAACATTAGTATCATACCATGTACCCTCTCAGACCACCATGGGATGAAACTGGAAATCAACAACTCAAAACTCCCCAGGAAGTATAGGCACTCTTGGAAATTGAACAATATGCTATTAAACGAACAATGGGTCAGAGAAGAAATTAAAGATGAGATCAAAAAATTTATGGAAACCAATGAAAACTCTGATACAACATTCCAAAACTTGTGGGACACCGCCAAAGCAGTGCTACGAGGTAGATTCATCGCAATCGGAGCGCATGTCAAGGCCCAAGAAAGACGCCAAATACAGGAACTAACCTCACACCTCCAGGATCTGGAAAAACAGCAGCAGAAGAGTCCCACGCACAATAGGAAACAAGAAATCATCAAAACAAGGGAGGAGATAAACCAAATAGAAATCAAAAAAACTATACATAAAATCAACAAATCAAAAAGTTGGTTTTTTGAGAAAATAAACAAAATAGACACTCCACTGGCCCGATTGACCAAAAAAAAAAAAAACAAGAGAAAGTGAGAATCAATAGCATTAAAGATGAAAAAGGCAACATAACAACAGACACTGCAATCATTAAGAAAATAATTAGAAATTACTACAAAGAACTGTACTCCCACAAATTTGAGGACCACCAAGAAATAGAAAAGTTCTTGGACTTTCACCACTTACCAAAACTCAGTCTGAAGGCAACTGAAGAATTAAATAAACCCATAACCGAGGTAGAGATTGAAACAGTCATCAAGGATCTCCCAACGAAAAAAAGCCCAGGCCCAGACGGCTTCACTACAGAATTCTACAAAACATTCCGAACAGAACTAACCCCAATCCTCTACAAGCTCTTCAAAACAATAGAGGAGGAAGCAACCCTCCCAAACTCATTCTATGAAGCCAACATCACCTTAATCCCAAAACCGGACAGAGAACCATCAGAGAAGGAAACTACAGACCTATTTCTCTGATGAACATTGATGCTAAAATTCTCAACAAAATCCTAGCCAATAGAATTCAAAAAATCATCAGACAGATCATTCATCCGGATCAAGTAGGATTCATTCCTGGAATGCAGGGATGGTTCAACATTCGGAAATCCATAAATGTTATAAACCATATCCAAAAACTGCAAAACAAGAACCACATAATAGTTTCAATAGATGCAGAAAAAGCTTTCGACAAAATCCAACACCTCTTCATGCTAAAAACTCTAGCCAAAGTAGGCATAGATGGGAAAATCCACAACATAATCAAAGCAATTTAGGAAAAACCCAACGCCAGTATCATACTGAATGGAGAAAAGCTAGAACCCTTCCCACTGCAGATCTGGAACAAGACAAGGGTGCCCGCTATCACCACTGCTATTCACCATAGTCCTAGAGGTACTTGCAGAGGCCATAAGACAAGAAAAAGAAATCAAAGGCATACGTATAGGAAACGAAGAAGTCAAGCTTTCACTATATGCAGATGACATAATCCTATACATAGAAAAACCAGGAGACTCAATACAGAAACTGCTAGAACTTATACGAGTGTTTGGCAGAGTGGCGGGGTACAAAATTAACGAACGAAAATCAACAGCCATAGTGTACGCAAATAACACCAAGATGGAAGAAGATCTAACCAACAGGATACCATTCAAAATAGCAGAGAGAAGTATGAAGTATTTGGGAATAAATCTAACCAAAAGCGTAGGAGACCTATTCGAAGAAAACTACAAACTATTTAAAAAGGAAATTGAACAAGACCTCAAAAGATGGAATAACATCCCGTGCTCCTGGATAGGCAAAATCAATATCATTAAAATGTCTATACTACCACAAGCAATATACATTTTCAACGCAATTCCAATCAAATTGCCCAAAACATTCTTCACGGAACTGGATACAATGATTCAAAAGTTCATCTGGAAACACAAAAAACCACGAATAGCTAGAACCATCCTGAAAAATAAGAGATTAGCAGGGGGAATCACAATCCCGGACCTCTGGACATACTATAGAGCAGTGGTTATCAAAACAGCCTGGTACTGGCACAAAGACAGAAAGGAAGATCAATGGAATAGAATAGAAGCACCAAAAGGGAACCCACACAAATACAGCCAATTAATCTTTGACAAAAAGACCAATGACAACTCAAGCAAGTGGGAAGGCCTCTTTAGTAAATGTTGTTGGGACAACTGACTGATAGCCTGTAGAAACAAAAAGATAGACCCTCATCTATCACCATACACCAAGATCCAATCTACATGGATAAAAGACCTAAACCTACATCCAGAAACCTTCAAACTCTTGCAAGAAATTGTAGGAAATACCCTGCAAGACCTAGGAGTAGGTCCCGACTTTCTAAGAAGGACACCAAAAGCAATAGCAGTTGAGAACAGAATAAACAAGTTGTACCTCATCAAACTAAGAAGCTTCTGTACAGCAAGGGAAACAATCAACAAAGTAAAAAAGCAACCCACAGAGTGGGAGAAGATCTTTGCACACGATATAGGCGATAGGGGGCTAATTTCCAGGATATACAAAGAACTTCAAAACAACCAAAAAACCAAAACAAACAAGCCACTCAAGAAATGGGCACGGGAAATGGGCAAACATTTCACAAAGGAACAAGTCCAAATGGCAAACAAACATATGAAAAAATGTTCCAGCTCCCTGGCAATAAGGGAAATCCAAATTAAAACATCGATGAGGTACCACCTAACACCAGTAAGATTGGCCCACATAAACAAGAACACCAACGACGCTTGCTGGCGAGGATGCGGGGAAAAGGGAACCCTACTCCACTGCTGGTGGAGCTGCAAATTGGTACAGCCTTTATGGAAATCAGTCTGGAGAACACTCAAACAACTCAAAATCTGCATACCATATGACCCAGCAATAGCACTCCTAGAAACATATCCAAAACACCTGTTTTATGACAAACCAACATGCATCCCTATGTTCATTGCAGCACAATCAGTAATTGCAAAAACATGGAAGCAACCGAAATGCCCATCAGCAGAAGATTGGATAAGAAAGCTTTGGTTCATCTACTCCATGGAATACTACTCAGCTATTAAAAAAAAAACAAAATGCAGTTCTTTGTGGCTAAATGGGCACAACTGGAAACTATAATGCTAAGGGAAATGAGTGAATCCCAAAAGATTAGATACCACATGTTTGCCTTGATTTAACCTGTAATTTTTGTTTGGTTGTTTATTTTTTGAACCTCTCATTGATACTGTCTCAACCCAGATGTTTCGAAGAATGGAACTTGCATTATTTTTAACATATTGTTTACCCAATACTATGTCAATTAATTCCATAATGTTGTATATTGATACTGAGGCCTTGTTGGGGCTTTTAACTGACCGGATCTTTACTCTGTTAGACCTATCTTCAGACCATAGAAGGTCTCCCCAAGAGGCCACTGAACTTATCTGGACAATAAGACACTGAACTTTATGCTAGGCATGTGTTTGCAAGCAATGAATCTCAACTGAACTTGAACTATGGTTATGCAACAAGGTGGAGGAATCCACCATGGGGGGAGGGGTATGGGAGGGGTGGGGGGAATCCCCAGCGCCTATAAAACTGTACTACATAATACAATGTAAGCAACAATAAATAAAAAAAAAAAGACACACACACACAAAAAAGAAAAGTCATGAGCCAAATGTTAATTTGTCGCGCAAATATAACTTAACCAGATGCTTCCACAGGAGTTGATATGTGACAGTGGAACTTTCAGAAAGGGCTCAGGAAGGTGGCTTTGCTGGATCTATTCAAAAGGACAATACTGTCAAACACTGGAATAACTGACAAGCGAGGAGGAGTTAAAGTATTCCAAAAATCAGGGATAAATGACATGATTTCTACACTCTCTGTGTGTCCAGGTTGGGGCACAGGGAGCTTTTCCTAGATGGCTCATGGAGGTGCACCAACAGAGGTGTCCAAAAGCCATTCTAAAATTCTGCAGAGCTCTGCTGAGCTCCGCTCTGCAGCTCCATGGCCACAGTTGAGGTACCCCAGAATGTCACCTGATTCTGTCTATTGTTGCTCAATTGCATTGCTGTGTGGCTGCACTGAATTCCATGGTCTGATCCTCTTCTGTGTGACTGCTCCTCTGCTTAGGTGGCTGTGGAAGAACTCCCAATATGTGCTGGTCTTTTACTTTGCCATCCAGGAGATCAATAGGGATGAACACTTGCTCCCAAACAAGTCCTTGGGTTTCCAGTTGTACAATGCCTTGGCCAGTCACAGCTTCATACTGTTGAATGCCCTGCACTGGCTGACAGGGGACCATAGCTTGACTCCCAACTACATTTGCCAGACACGGAGTAAGTCAGTTGTTGTCCTTGCTGGAACAAGCTCAGTGTTTTCTGCTGAAATGGGGACCATTTTGGAGCTCTACAAAATCCCACAGGTGAGTGGAATGTGAATTCTGTTGAGCAAACTCTCAATCTCCTCCCAAGTCACTCTGACATATGTCATGAAGTGATAATGTAGAAGCATCTGGCTTCTATTTGGAACTCTCCTAGGACCACGACAGTTTCAAAGGACCCCACAGTTCCACTTAAATCAGATGTCCCTCATGCCCTCTGCCTAAGTCTTCCCTGCTCATATACACCTAATCAGATATCAACTATAGATTCATAGATAATTTTACAGGCTTCATTCAAAGTGAACCGTGTGTTTGTGCCTCTGTGTGTGTGTGTATGCATATGTGTTGTGTATATCTTTGAAAGCAGAGAAATGAAAACAAACATTGCAAGCAATGGATTCCTTTTCAGTTTTTGAGTCATGAAAATTTACAATGGTGCCAGTGTTTTCTGGCTGTAGTGAAATCCAGGACCCTGCCATTCATTCAAGTATTTCAAATAGGTGACTGGAAGTCCATTTCACAGGCCATTGGTGCTGCCTCTCAGACTCTAAGCTTTTCAGAGATTCTAGAAGGGGCCCCATGCAGAAACATGGAACTTTGGAATCCATAAAGCACAGAGGAAAATAGCCAATGATGAGTCTAGGCTGAAAAGCCCTTTGACCAACACTCAGAGAGCATAGTCGATGGTATCCTTCAAGGAGAGTCAGGTGAAGATGGGAAAGCAGGTGAAATGGGAAGGATTAAAGATCGACATTCTGTAGCTGTTGAGCTTCTGCATGTATTGATTGTGTCACACCTGGGAACTGGATCAATTCCCAAGAGGCTCGTGTTTCTGCATTCATGTGACCTCAGCACTGGTTCTTGTATCCAAAGCTCAAGCCCCATCTGTTCTTACCCTGGACATGATGAACTCACACATTTCCTCCAATGACACAAATGAGAGTTCCCATGTGAAACATGCCCTTTTCTGTGCCCACAGAATGCACCTTGGCCATCTCAATTGCAGATTTTCCTTACCCAATAATATTATGTTCTATTTGTGAGACATACTTTTTCATGTTTCTCATGACAGCTAATGCTGATTTTCTTTCAGCTCACTTATGGTCCTTTTGATCCCATGCTGAATGATAAGAAGCAGTTCCCCTCACTCTATCAGATGGCCACCAGTGACAGCTCTCTGGCCCGTGCCATGATCTCCCTGCTGCTGCATTTTGGCTGGACATGGGTGGGACTCTTGGTGTCTGATGACATGAAAGGAGAGCAGTTCCATCAGGACATCCAAGCTGAGATGGTCAAGAGAGGAGTCTGCTTGGCCTTTGCCTTCAAGCTCCCTGAGACAAAGACAATGTATGAAACCACTGGCAGATCTTACCTATATTGGATTAGCATTTCCTCTGCAAATGTGCATATACTGTACAGTAACATCAGGAGCCTCTTTACCATGGAACACCTTGGTGTATACTGTCTAACCGTGGGGAAGGTGTGGCTCATGATAGCTAAGTGGGACATTGTTGTGGATGAGACACATCACATGTTGCACTCTTTCCATGGGGGCTTTTCCTTCTCACCCCATAATGGCAAAATCCCAGGACTCAAAACTTTTTTCAAGACAGTGAACCCCTCCCACTACCTAGAAGATGTCTACTTCAGGGAGCTGTGGTTTCATTTTTTTCACTGCCTACCTGCTGGGTCAGCTTGTGGACACATAGGAGTCTGCCGTCCCAGTGTTTCCCTTGAAAATATCCCAGGACACATCGACATGCTGTCCGTGTCTGACTCCAGCTATTTTGTGTACAATGCTGTGTATGCAGTGGCCCACGCCCTGCATCGTGTGTTTCTGGAGAAAGAAGAAATGGTTTTCCCAGAAGACACAGCTCAAGCTCTGATTCTTCCCTGGCAGGTAAGCCTCCTCCACAACAGGACATGCTCTCAGCATCAGATGGCAGATATATGTCTTTTGGATATTTCATTTTGACATCAGCATGATAAGTCATGAAAGAAATTGTAATCTTTCTCATTCTGCTGTATTTCCTGGGAAGATTCCAGGAAACAATGTTTATAACTTCATTGTAAATCATCTGACAGCGACAGAGCTTTTATTCTCTATTACAAACATGATAAAGTATGACTGTTTTCCTTGGTGAGTCTGGTTCATTCCACAAAGTTTCCTAATCTTCACTTCATTGCATTTTGTTTCAAAGGTGATGATTTTATTCAGTGTGGTGACTGAGTAATATTCCACCATGATAATACAACACCTTTTGTTTAGCCACTCATGTCTGGTTGAGTCCATATTTCAATATTGATGTGACTGCTCTAGACATGTGCCCATGACCAGGGTTTACCATATTTAAAAAAAAAAATTTTTTTTTGCTAGGCTTGCAAATATGGTGAAGCAAAACCTCACTGTGCTGATGTATTTCTGGTCATGTCAGTTTCATCCATGAAAAATGCCTATTCATATCCATAAGCCTCATATTGCTGGGATCATCTTCTTGTTATGATTGAGTTTCTCTAGCCTAGTATATTTGGGATATCATATGTGGTGGAACACATATAAAGAAGTCTAGCTTTCTATTCATTCAATTGTCGCTACACTCTGTTGAGTACTGTCGCACAAATTACTTAGCTTGATGAAACTCAAGTGGCTAGCTGTCTTTATTGCTTCTGTGTCTGAGGTATTACCAAAGGGTTCTTGGCTGAGGTCAATCCTTATGCATTTCAAAGAATTTTCTCTAGTAATTGGATCACTTCAGGTTAAGTATTTAGTTTTTCCACAAATCTTGATATGATATCTAGCTGTGGTCTGAAATAGAAATCTAAATTCTGACATCTGCATGTGGAAATGTACTTTTCACAGCTCACTTTTGAATCAAGCTTGGTTTATTAAGAGACCATTTGCTCAATATGAGCTCTCTGAGCATTTGTAAACACAATGCACCTCTCCAGATATATACATGAAGTCCTCTGGATTTTAACCCTGCCTTATTACAACCTATTACCATGCGAGAGAATTAAATTGATACTATCTTCATGCATGTACAGTAAACTGAACTAATCAAATTAGTTGAGTCAATCACACAAATGGATTGTCTCGCAAAGGCATGCTCACATTTGTGTCATTAGGTTTCTATGTAATTTGAAATCAAGAAAAATTGCTTCACTGTATAAACTCTAGGCCTACTTGCAATAAGAGCTCACACACAAGTTGGGACATGCTGGCCTCACATTTAAAGGAGTAACTTAAAGGATTATGAAGGTGATCAGAGAAAAGCTAATGGAACATTTATGAGTTTAGTTCACATCAGTGGAGACACAGTGACAGCGAATTATCCTGAATTGAACTCATGCCAGAATGACTGCTTAGACCAATGAGCATCCAGCCATTATCATCTCAGGGCATAAAATGAAGAAGAAAGAATTTCCTAGGACATAGGTGCCTCCCATCTCTAATTGGATTGCTTTCCTATCTCTAACTCTGCTTCCCATCCAGCTACATCCACTTCTGAGGACAACACAGTTCACCAACAATGCTGGGGATCATGTGTCCCTCCACAAAGCAACACCTCATCAGGAACACTACGATATTCAGAACATTGTCAACTTTCCTGCAGGCCTCCAAGTGATGGATAACATTGGAAGGTTTGGATATGACCAAGGCCTAGTCATCAGGGAAGACATGATAGAATGGCCTGTTGCATTGAAGGAGGTATGGTTCTGGGGAGAAGTCTGGACATGCTCAAAGGACTCTGGGTGAGTGAGGATCTCCTTGAATCTCACAACTTCACAGGGAGAGCACTGATATATTAAAAAGTCACAGGGAACTAAATCCCATGATTCCAAGGAAATGTTTACTGCCAGCTTTCCTTAGATCCATTCTACCTGGATCTCTTAACAACCATTGAGAACAGGCAATCCTGGGATGATAGGGCTACAGGGACATCTGTCTTCTAGGCAGTTTACACAGTGACACAGAGTTATGGTTTACACCATGCGTAGTTATGAACAACAAGTCACTGCTTCTAAAGTGCTACCTAAGTCTCATGTACTTTCCTTCCTTGTCTCGATGATAAGCTACAGACGCTTGAAAAGGACAAAAGAAAGCACAGTGGGAGTGTGCCGATAGTACTCTGGCAGAGCCTGTAACATAGGCACTGTTCCAAGGGGCAACGCATGTACCTGCCATTAGGGGCTTGTCTCAAGGACTCCCAAAGGCCTTAGGCACTCCTGCCAAGGTTCAAGGAACAGTGACCAGTTCTCAGCCCACACTCCTTCAGTATGCTCATGGCTACACACTGACCTGTAAGATTTCAGTTCAGGGAGTTCAAAAGAAAGATAAAATTGCTAAACTCATATATCTGGAGATGAATGAAATGAATGTGATTAGATGTCCTGACACTATCTGGGAATGAGTTGAATATCTTGAGTGAACATCAAGAAACACTAAATTCTAGGGTTATGTGCTGTTAACAGGACCAAGACTGAGAAAGGCATGGTGATGCAGGCCAGTCCTGTTGTGGTGATGAGGGATATAGTGGCATCTTCTCCAAGTGTGTCGTGATGTGCCAAGCCCTGACCAATGCTTCTTGATGCTCCCGCAGACTCCAACATCTGTGTGTAGCCAGAGATGTGTGCCAGGATTCAGGAAAATGCCAGAGGAAGGATTGGCTGTCTGCTGCTACACTTGTGTTTTCTGTGCAGAGGGTGAAATTTCCAATCAGACAGGTATAAAACACATAACTTACTTATGAGAACTCCATTGTCTTGGGCATAGTTGTAGTGGCATCGCAGTGTACTGTTGTTCTATAGGCACACGTTCACTCACTCTTTCAAGATAGGTGATTTAGTGTTACTAACGGCACCTCATTCTATATGACCTACTACCTAACAGTGCTCAGCTGACACATTGATACTGTTAGGGAGCCTCCATTACTATCCACTGCTGCATGACACAGTCTCAACCAAGTCCTTCGAGTAAACACACTGAGGTCTAAACAAGAAGCAGGAAGTATTTATTTGTCAGGACTGTGTGTATTCCTAGAAGGCATGAAATGAACACTTTTTTCATACACTGCTGACAAGCATGGAGCTAATGCACATACACTGTTAGGGAGCTATTGTATTACTTCCTGGTTACATCCTGAACATTGTGAACATAAAAAGTACTCAAAACCTACACCCAACATTGTCATTTGGAGGTAGAAAACAGAACAAGAGAATGACAAAACACAGTGAAAAATGAACGTGAAACATGCCAATACATGTGCATTTGTTCTTGCTAAGATTTGGCACAAGCTCAAGTATAGGGAATTAGCTATCTGAAGCAAATACACTGAGCACTTGAAAGTACACTCAGACTCACTAAGAAGAACCTTTATGGCTTAAATATCACACATAAACGTATCAACAGAAAAATCTTCAGATTTCATCCAGTGTCCCAATGCCAATCATCTCAACAGTCACAATATTTCAAACAGGAAGAAGACCACAAAGTAATGTGACCCAAGTAACAACTCTCTCAACGTCTCATTGATATTTCATTGAAGCAGAGACACACACACACCTACTAACCTGGCCCTGGTGGTGTCTTTCATGTTATAGAAGCCTCGCTGATCTGATCAAGACATAATATGATGTCCCACACCCTCGGTGTTCCTCATACATGATCTGAACTGAAAAGCTGAATAACCCATGCCTTCATGTGAACATGAAAGAAAGATTTAACAATTATAAAATGCAATAATGGTGATGAAAATATTCTAACCAAGACAATCTCATGTTAACAATAGGGCTAATACGCAAATTGTTTTAACAGTATCATCCCAACCACTGAATAAAAGAATTTATAGGATGAATCCATGATTGAATTTAGAATCCTGTTTAGATAGTGGATAACATAGAGGTGAGAGATCATTTGATTCTCCATCTAAGCTAAAGGTTTAAACCCATGAACAAGGAAATGTTTGCTTGAATGCAATTTTTCTTCACAGCAGATGAGAATTCTCCAGGGATCAGAAATGCAAACACTTGAGCTTGTATGACATAATAGAACACCCTAGCAATATGTACACAAAAGGGCATTGTAGAGTGACAATTTTCACAACGAGGAAAGATTCTGAGTTAATGCAAGGGAAATCATGAGTCTCTTTCTGTCCTACAGATGCAGAGCAATGCATCCAGTGCCCAGAGCAGGAATACTCAAACAGGAAGAGAACTCACTGCCTCCAGAAGCTGGTGACATTCCTGGCCTTTGAGGATTCAATGGGGATGGCTCTGGCATGCATGGTTCTGGCACTCTCTGTCCTCACTGCTGCCGTCATGGCAATCTTTGTGAAGCACCGAGACACACATATCATCAAGGCCAATAACTGCAACCTCAGCTACATCCTGCTCATAGCCCTCCTCCTCTGCTTCCTCTGCTCCTTCCTATTCATTGACCGTCCCAACACAGCCACCTGCCTCCTAAGACAAATCACATTTGCTCTAGTGTTCACAGTGGCTGTTTCTGCTGTGCTGGCTAAAACCATCACTGTGGTTCTGGCCTTCAAGGCCATGAAGCCTGGAAGGACCATGAGGCGATTGCTGGTGTCAGGAGCCCCAAATGCTGTCATTCCCATCTGCTTCCTCATCCAACTGACTCTCTGTGCCATCTGGCTGGCAACATCTCCTCCTTTGTGGGCACAGAGATGCACACACTGAGCATGGACACATCATCCTCTTGTGCAACGAGGGCTCCATCACTGCCTTCTACTGTGTGCTGGGCTTCCTGGGCTCATTGGCCCTGGGCACCTTCACTGTGGTTTTCCTTGTCAGGAAGCTGCCTGACATGTTCAATAAGCCAAGTTCCTGATGTTCAGTATGCTGGTGTTCTGCAGTGTGTGGGTGACCTTCCTGCCTGTGTACCAGAGCACCAAGGGGAAGGTGATGGTGGCTGTGGAGGTCTTCTCCATCTTGGCCTCTGATGCTGGGTCTGTTGTGCTGCATCTTTGTTCCCAATGCTATACAATGCTATATTATTCTCATAAAGCCTGGAAAGAATTCTTTGAAAAGCTTAAGGAAATAATCAGGTTTTAAGCATGTCTAAATATTTTTTGAAATGTTTTCACTATCACATTTGAAGAGATTGCAACCCAAATTGTACTTAGCTGCATTCAGGTGTAATATTATGTCCTTCTTCCTGTTTACTATTTGTGTGTAGTTAAGATAGCCTAGTAGGGTACATGGGATCCATGTTTGGTCCTGGCTCAGACCTGTACTTATGACCACCTCTGGGACATCCTGATTCCAGCCACCCAGCCTGGTCTGACTCCTCTTGTTGGCTTTAGACACAGCCCTGACACAGGCATTGGAATGGAGAGAGGCGATGCATAAAATGGAATGCATCTCTGTTTTATTACTTACCTTCTGTGTCTCACTCCTCCAGAGTTAATGTACAGGCTGAGAAAAGCTAAACTGAGAGTTATCCAAACCTCAGATCAGCATGAAGATACAATAGCCATGTCCCTTTATTTGAGCATGGCTCTTCTGGCAATGACAGAGTCTAAATCTTCCTCTTTTCATGTATCCTAGGCAAATAATGTTAGTGTCTATATAATGCTAAGACATCTTTGTCATACAGACTTTAGGTTCCAACATCCCTTCCCCTGTAGGGTGTTTTTCATTTCTTAGCTGACACAATCATTTAAGTGAGATTTCTCTCCCAGCTTGAGTTCCTGGGTCACTTGGTCATGCAATGTCCTTCTGTGCTCCTTTTCAAGTTCTTCCAGAACATTCTCTTTGTCATAGTGAATGCGTTGTCCATGTCTACACTTCACTGGTTGCAATATCTCATGTTCTTCAACGATCTACATGGTTTTACGTTTGCTTGAAGGTTTCTTTATTGAATTGCACATGGTGACACTGGGCTGTATTGATTCATGTAAAAATATCACAGCCTCGAAGAGCTGCTTTCAGCTGGAATAGTGAGTGGAAGGAAACTGCCACCACATCCACAGTGCACTTCCTGATTTGGCACAGTTTGCTCATATGCCTGAACAAATATTTCCTCTCTGGATAGCACATAGTTCCATCACCCCATAAGTTACTTCTGTATTATATCCAATCACCACGACCTTAGAACATGCAAGTAAACCTGTTCTTCCCTTTCTAAGTCATACTTCAAGCACATAGTTAGCTTCTTCATAAAAGCAAAAGCAAGAGCTAAGTTAGTTGAGGAAATCATATCAAGTTTAGACAACAGAAACCAGGTATCTGTTAGAAGACCTCATCATCTAATATCTATTTTTACTTAGAAAACAATCCTTGGTAGATAATTTATTCTTGCTTATATACAATCCTTAGGAAAGCAACTGGGTATGCAAAGGTTTCAGAAATGTAATCATGTAATCTGGAAAAGCTGTGTCTTTAAGTACCTGAGGACTTACATTACTGTACTTACAACAATAAAATGTAATTATGTCCTGAGTAATGCACAAGTGACCAAAAGACAAGCTTTAGAACAGCTTATTAATCAGTTTTAAAAAGGACCTGAGCGATAGTTGATTGGTTAAAGTCCTCATTGTGTACGCACTGGGATCCCGTATATGGTCACCGGTTCTAATCCCGGTGGCCCTGCTTCCTATCCAGCTCCCTGTTTGTGGCCTGGGAAAGCAATCGAGAACAGCTCAAAGACCTGGGACCCTGCACCCCTGTGGGAGACCTGGAAGAGCTCCTGACTCCTGGCTCAAGATTGGCTCAGCTCTAGCCATTGCATTCATTTGGGGAGTGAACCATTGGACCGAAGATCTTCCTCTCTGTCTCTCCTCCTCTGTGTCTTTCTGACTTGATAATAAAAATAAATAAACCTCTAAGAGGGTTTGGGGAGTGGTTGGCAGAATCCCAATGCCTATAACACTGTGCCACATAATGCATTTAATAATAATAATAATAATATAAAAGAGAAATAACTTTTAAAGTTAAATTTGAAATTTTGTTTTTGCCCCAAACATGGTCCTTATTGTAAGGAAAAAAGAACATAACATTCTCATACAAGAATCCTAGTATAGAGACAGAAAACAAACTAATGTTGTGTCTTTTGAACTTTCCCTGGCGCTATCAATCACATGTCACTGTACAACTATGTATATATAATGTTTTTCTTGCTGGGCCTACCAGATATTATGTGATCTTTTACCAGGATGCATGAAACGTGAACAATGAGTTGCATGCATTCGCAAGGTTTGACCCAATAAAACGGGACTTTCATTTCATTTTTTCAGATCCTGAAATGTATCCCTGTGGCTATACACTTGTGAGACCCAGAAAGAGCAAAGTGGCAGGTGCATAACTGCTGGACTGAAATGGCTGAAGTGCTAGGATTGTCCTCCATCAGGTGGCAACCAGGCCTCTGTGGCAAAGCTTGCCCAAGGCTCCAACATGAAAAGCCCTTTTGCAGATAGTTCCTACTCAGTCACTGATGGAGTTTACATCACTCCTCATTGAATGCAAAGATGCCACCATCATTTTCAATAGGTGATCTTCTTGATAAAGTGTCACTTGAATTAATGAACATGATTGTGTGTGTGTGTGTGTTAATCCAACACTAACTCTAAAACTTCCAAGATTCTCAAAATGAACATAACATGTTAGTATCCTGGGTAAAAACTTCTGAGTTGATACTCCAGTGTGCAGTAGAGGAGTTAGGAGAGTCCAAAGCAGGTTGTTTGTTCAGAGGTGTTTTGCTCGTCATGGACATTGGCAGGTGCACAGCCTCAGGACACAGTGATCCCCTGAGTTCTGAACACAAGGACCAGAGGCCAAGGCCTCACTGATGGGATGAACTGTGAAGCATCTCCCTTTGGACTTGTGTCTCCGTGTGGCTCCACAGACTTGCATACACTATCTACATGTGGAAGGCATACAGCAGGATTTGAGGTGGAAATGGGGGTGCCCTGCATCCTGCTTTAGCCTCCACAGAAACAGCTCAGAATGCGAACAAAAACCAGTTCCAATTCTCCTACTATCCGAAGGTGCTTGGGGCTTGAACCCTGTAATGGGTTGCTATACCATGCATTGCCTGTGGTGTTTCTGTGCCTAATCCTGAATGTTTGGGGCAGTTCCCAGGACAGACATCCCCAGTACTGCTATAAGCCATTGGGCTCCAGGATCGATGCTGATGGAGACCTGCTGCTGAGTGCCTTTTTCCCCCTTTACTACATGAAACCAGATTCAGCCAGGATCTCAGTTAATGCAAGGGAAAATCATGAGTCTCTTTCTGTCCTACAGATGCAGAGCAGTGCATCCAGTGCCCAGAGCTGGAGTACACAAACAAGGAGAGAACTCACTGCCTCCCCAAGCTGGTGACTTTCCTGGCCTTTGAGGATTCCCTGGGGATGGCTCTGGCCTGCATGGCTCTGACCCTCACTCTCCTCACTGTTATGGTGTTGGGGGTCTTTGTGAAGCACCAAGACACACCCATCGTCAAGGCCAATAACCGCAACCTCAGCTACATCCTGCTCATCTCACTCCTCCTCTGCTTCCTCTGCTCCTTCCTCTTCATTGGCCGTCCCAACACAGCCACCTGCCTCCTAAGACAAATCACATTTGCCCTGGTGTTCACAGTGGCTGTTTCTGCCGTGCTGGCCAAAACCATCACTGTGGTTCTGGCCTTCAAGGCCATGAAGCCTGGAAGGACCATGAGGCGATTGCTGGTGTCAGGAGCCCCAAACGCTGTCATTCCCATCTGCTTCCTCATCCAACTGACTCTCTGTGCCATCTGGCTGGCAACATCTCCTCCCTTTGTGGACACAGATGCATACTCTGAGCATGGACACATCATCCTCTTGTGCAACGAGGGCTCCATCACTGCCTTCTACTGTGTGCTGGGCTTCCTGGGCTCATTGGCCCTGGGCACCTTCACTGTGGCTTTCCTTGCCAGGAAGCTGCCTGACACGTTCAATGAAGCCAAGTTCCTGACGTTCAGCATGCTGGTGTTCTGCAGTGTGTGGGTGACCTTCCTGCCTGTGTACCAGAGCACCAAGGGGAAGGTGATGGTGGCCGTGGAGGTCTTCTCCATCTTGGCCTCTGGTGCTGGGCTCCTGGGCTGCATCTTTGCCCCCAAATGCTACATTATTCTCATAAAGCCCGAGAGGAATTTGTCGAAAAGCTTCAAGAAAACAACAGGTTCCAAGGGAGTTTGTCAGTTTTCTTAGGAGTTTTTGACTGAATTACATTCAGATGCGAAAAATAACAGGGGTGACTTTATCTCTTAATACTACTTGTGCAAAGTACAATTAGCCTAGCTGCTGCATAGAATGAACGTCCACCTCTGGCTCTGACCTGCTCTCTGATCTCTGTTTGGGTATCCTGGTTCCAAACCCATGAATTGGTTTGACTCCTATTGTTGGTTCTTGTCAGAACTCTGAAATAAATATTGCAATGGAGATATGTGATATAGAGTGGGAAGGGTCTCATTTTATCACGATCATCTGTGTCAGTCTCTCTCAAAATTAGTAATGGGATTTAGAAAAAATTTCTTGTTTGAGAAAAAAAACATTCATGATGTAAATCAAATCTGAAGTCATGTACCAGATACAATAGCCTGTCGCTTAATGTTACATGTTTTTTTCTGCGATGCCAGAGATTGAATTATTTTGGATTATTTACTAATGTGGGGTCAATATTGTATATTTGGTAAGTCAATTAATACTCACTGGTTTTATGGTCTGCACCCCTGGCTTGCTGAGTGTCAGTTTTTGGCCTACGGGCATTTTAAGGGATTTTCTTTTCCAGGATATAAATTTTGCTTAGTGATGCGAACACTGTATGAGCACCGTATGAACACTGGATTGGCCCAAAGCATCTTGATCAGTGCTGCCTTAACACTGTTCTAGAACATTCTCCTTATCACTTTGAATGGATTGTTCATGTCTACATCTTACTGATACCATAATTGTATGTTCTTTGCCCATACAGCCTTTTTGGCAATACCTCTGCTTTATAAGTTTTCTCTTCAATCGCACATGTGCACACCATGTTGTTTTGAATCATATTAAATGTCACATCCAGAATGAACAGGTTTAGGTTGACGCACGTGTGGCAGGCAACTATCGCCACACTCCTGGGGCATATCCCGATTTGGTACAGTTTGCTCATATGTTTGCATAAGAATCTCCTCTCTGTGGCCTGGATGTGGTTTCATTACTCCGTTAACAAACAACATACACTCTCCAATGCCCTCGGCCTCCGTGTATGCAACCAACCCTCTCCTTCACTTTCTAATTCATCACACTGCCCATTATTTGGCTTCTTCAAGGAACTAAGGACAAGAGCATATATTAATTAGATTAATGGGAGATATCAAATGAACTCTAGACAACAAGAAGTAGGTACAGCTTTCATTGTTACTATCTGGTTTTTTTTTACCCACAAAAAAATATTTGGTAGTTCTTACATTCCCAAGTACAATCAACCATTAGAAATACAATTGCAGTAGGCAGAGAGTTGCAATGATGTAACTATGAATTTTGCAAATGCCAAGTCTTCAAGCTTCTGAAGACTTACAGAACAGTTGTCTAAACAATGGAATATCACTTATGTCCTGTAGGATGCACATGTGAAGCAGAAGACAAGGTCTTCATCATATTCTATTAATTACCCTTAATCAGAAAGTTGAAATTTTGCAGTTGCTCACACTGATCCTCACAATCTCAAATGAAAATTATATTGTCATGTAAGCATTCAGGATGAAACAGAGAGTGAACCTGTGTGATTTTCTTTTTAACTTTACTTGAGTTATTAATAGCATGTAGATGTAGAACTGTGTGATTCCATATGTACAATCAGAATGGGCTTAGCACATAGTAGAAGGTATCTTTAGTCAAGACAGGTGAATTTTGAGCAGTTTATTGCATAGATTTATAAATATTGACCCAATAAAACTGAACTTTCATTTCACTTTTTAAACTCTGAAAACTACCCCTTTGGATAGGCGACCCACAGAAAAATCCAAGTGGCAAATCCATGCCTGTTGGACTGAATGGCTAGGATTCTCCTCCATCAAGTGTCAACAGGCTTGTGTGGAAAAGCTTGCTCAGAGCTCCTGCCACACTAACCTCTGCAGTTACTTCACACCCAGTCAGTGAGGGAGTTTACATCACCCCCCATTGATTGGATGGGTGACCCTACCATGACCGACACTTGATATTCTTGACAAAGCATCATATGAAATAATGAAACCGAGTGTGTGTGTGTGTGTATTAAACTTCCTAAGCTAACTCTTTCTAAAAGTTCTAAGCCTTTCAAATATACATATTTTCATCTGGACCCAGTGTACAAATGTTGACAGAGCTACTGTCCCTGCTTGCAGTGCGAGAAGAAGGAGAACCCAAACAAAGCAGGTGTTTTTAGAGGGGTTTTGCTCCTCATGATCAGTGGCAGGTTCAGAGTCTCAGCTCACAGCAATCCCCTGAGTTGCTGAAGGAAACACGAAGCAATGTAAAGTTGTAGAAGCCACAGCTGATCTGTTCACAAGGACATCAGGGCAAGGTGTCAGTGCTAGGGGTTCCACTGAAGGGTCTACCACTGGATTTGTGTCCCTGTGGGCTCAGTAAAATTGCATACACTATCTACCATTTCAACTTATTCAGCAATACTCCAAACAGTGGTGATCTACAGTCAGGTGGACTCTTGGAAGAAAATGCTCCAAGGTTCACAAGGAACCCAAGACCACAGGAGAATTCGCCCCACCCTGGGAATCTTACTGAGCCTTCTGCTTTCTTCTTTCACCTGACATACTTGCTCTCCAGTGCTGCTTGTATCTCAGTTTCCTTGGAAGTGGATGAAGGTAGAAGGCATATATGCAAATGAGAACATCCAACTGACAAGAAGAGGGTTGAATGCACTAAACAAGCTGCTGTAGCATCCTATCAGTGATTGTCATGTGCTCAAGTAGGAGGCATTCTGATCCTGTGCATAGAAACAATGAGGGACTGTTGAATCCATTGGGAATCCTCTATAATGTAGCTTAGAAGATGTCCTGAAGGGCCAGGTGTGGTAGCCTAGAGGATAAAGTCCTCGCCTTGTACAAGCTGGGATCCCATATGAATGCTGGTTCTAATCCCAACAGCCATACTTGCCATCCAGCTCCCTGCCTGTGGCCTGGGAAAGCAGTCAAGGACAGCCAAAAGCCTTGGAATCCTGCACCCATGTGTGAGAACTGAAAGAAGTTCCTGGTTCCTGGCTTCAGCTCAGCTCCAGCTGTTGTGGTCACTTGGGGAGTAAATCAGTAGACAGAAAATCTTCCTGTCTATCTCTTCTCCTCTCTGTATCTGACATTTCAACTAAAAATATATTTTACAAAATGTTTAAAAAGAATATGTCCCGAAGCATAGGCTGTAATGCTGAAAACCATCCTCCCTACAATAGGATAAAAATCAGTTTTGTCCACAAATAGAATTTTTTTCTAGATAACTTGCAAGCTGAATGGCCAAACTATATCCATTGGAAATGTGCACTGTGAATGAGCCTGAACTAACCCAGCTTGGAATGGTTCATTATGGCTAGAGTATTCAACATCCATTAAGACACAATTGCATCCCCAAATAAGTGGGAAGAAGAAATTTAAAGCAAAATCAGAAGATAAAGCTATGCATTGGCTCATGGACATACAAGTGTAGAATCAGTGTCATGTATGATTGAAGATCCGCTATACATGAATAAAGACATTCCAACATAGATTAATAATAAATATTTATTAAGATGCATTTAGTCAATCCAGTGTCTGCAACAGAGTAACATTATATCACAAACAGACTAGTGTCACTGGCAAAGGAATCACACATAACTTGTAGTAAACAAGCTGGGCTTACAAAACATAAAATCTGTGTGACTTGGTCATCATAGAAAATATGAACAATTACATTATTTGCACATGACAACTGAACAGATTGCAATTCAGTCTTTATATTTCATCTTCAATGGGGATATAAATGACATGAGTGTTGTAGCATTGATGGGCAATGCAATGTCACTGCATGACTTATTTTACTGAATATAAATGCTTTTTCAAATCTTCCTCACTTACTCTGAGATGGAGGCAAAGGAAAGCTATTGACAGAGACAGAGATGTCTTCCATTGTACACCACACATCTATGCATCGCAATGCCTCATCAGGGCTGTGACCACAACCAACAAGGAGCAAAATTTGTATCCTCACCTAGGCAACTGAGAACCAGGAAACATTAGCCTTTACCACTTCCTTCCAGGGACTCCAGGGGTCAGAATCTCAGACAAGGAGCAAGAGAACAAATGATGTCATTAACTCAGATTACTCAGCTAAATGCCATACACAAAAATTCTCTTAAGCAAATGATTCTACTTATTGATATTGATGGCGTGCATGTAAATTCAATAATGATTGTAGGGTCCTACCTCTCACAATATGACAGCAGGACAAGAAAAAAATATGTATTAGAATCTCCTAGAGCATGTTCTTTTCTTGAAACCTTCCAAACAATTCCTCTCAGGTCTTAGGAGATGATGTAGCACATGGCAAATGTGATTTGTCTTAGGAGGCAGGTGGCTGTGTTGGGACGGCCAATGAAGAGGAAGGAACAGAGGAAGTAGAGGAGGAGGGCTATGAACAGGATGTAGCTGAGGGTGCGGTTATTGGCCTTGACAATGGGTGTGTCTCGGTGCTTCACAAAGACCCTCAACACCATAACAGTGAGAAGAGTGAGGGCCAGAGCCATGCAGGCCAGAGTAGTACCCAGAGAATCCTCAAAGTCCAGGAATGTCAGGAGCTTGGGGGGTTCTCTCCCTGTTTGGGTACTCCTGCTCTGGGCACTGGACACACTGTTCTGCATCTGTAGGAAGAGATAGTTTCAGAGTGTCCATTTTGGAAATTCAGAATCATTCCCTGTTGTGAAATGGGTCAGCTCTGCAGTGTGCCTAAAATACGGATCAGTTGTGTTGTGTTCTAGGGCACAATAGAGCCTGTTTCTACTTTCTGACCTGGGCAGAGTGCTCATCTGCTGATGGGAAGAAACACATTCAAAAGACTTTAACAGACATGTGCTAAGGTAGGCTCATTCTGTGACCTGATGAGGAACCCTTGGACATGGGTGCTTCCAGCCTTCACCTCATCCATCCCTTTCAGTCTCCTTCATGTCAAGTCCTGTGTCACCATTGTGTATTGCCTAGGGACATCAA